TTGTTATAAAATATGTTTTATATGGTAATTCAAACTAAAATTCTTGCTATATTCTGTAAAAATTTATAATTTTTTTTTATTCAAAACTGTGCACAGATTAAAAAATTCAAACAATTAAAAAAAAAAAAATAAAAAATAACGTTTAACTTAAAAAATTACAATTAAAGCAATTTCTATGTACAATGTCTTGTATAAAATTTTAATACGTTATTTGATTATTTTATTAAGATTCGTAAATGGCCTGTTATATTATTTTTACCAATTTTGGTTTCGAAATATTAATCCCAGTACTAAGATGAATATAATATTACACATGCTAACAAATATTGTATAGCATTTCAACAAAGCAGCTCTGCATAGCAACAAATTAATTTTGATCATATTTCAATAAATGCTTTAAATAACATTCGAATCAATTAAATACTAGCTCAATATACTTCCTTATAATAAGTCAGCGTACATATGGGACGTACAAAATAATGCGATGTTTTATGATTTTTTTTTCAAATTAAACAAAAAATATGTTCATTATTATGAACATTATTAAAACATGTTCATAATAAATATTAAGTCATACTAAATCAACTATACATTATTCTTTCAGTACCTCAGTGGAGTCGTTGGGGTTCTATATGGAATTGACACCTATTTTGCCTACATAGAATATAGAGGATAAGTTTGGAAATATTTGCACTTACATGAAGAAGAAAAAACGTTTAACAATGGATCTCATATTAGTTATAGTGATATTTTGTAAAATTATTTAAGGATATATTATTTGATTATTCATAGAACCAAGTGATAAGATTACAGTAATCTTAGGTAATTAAAATTAAACATTACGTATTATATATTAAATAGTACATTATTATATTAAATGTACGTTACATATGGATATAGAAAAATTCTCACGACGTTGGTAAATTAAAAATTTGTACCAATCGAATCTTAAATTTATAAAATTTTAATATGTATGTCCGTTGTCCGCATATTTTATAAAAACACATATGCTTATAATTTAAGTTAGAATTAACTAGGCGATGGTAAAATCCGTTTTTTGGTAAGATGATCCATCTGCTTAATATTAATAATAATAAATGATATAATATTGATAAAGCCACATGTAACTTTCTTCGATTGACCAAAAGTATTTCAACAAAAGTTTCGACCACCATCTATTTGCAATAATAGCTAAATTGTTATAATCGCAGTATTTTCTGAAATTTTGGACAACACTCGTTGGAAAAATTAAAAAAATAACATCTGCAATAAAGGTTGGTGAGCATAAACACAAGCAAGGCTGCGTATGCAAATATTTTGGTAAATTATGTACCTACCTGCAAAAGAAAACTTAACACAAATAAACGCGAACGTTTGGGTATAAATCAGAACTTCCAATGCAATTATTGTAATAAGGTTTTTTCTCACAAATTTCAATTGATAATGAACATTCGCATCCATACGGGCGAAAAACCATATGAATGTAAAATATGTGACAAACCTTTTACCAGAAAATTTACTCTGAATAGACACTTTTTAACCGATACAGGCAACAAACCATGTAAATAAAAAAAAAAAATATTCACACTCGTATTTATCGCATCAAAATACATAAAAGATTTGCATTGAAATGCTTGAAATGATGAGAACTTTATTATACGCTTGAGCGAGAAAAATCGGCAAGATATGCATATATTTGTGAATCGGTCTCGCCTTCCGATGGACTTCGGATTTCATTGGAATAAAACTTAAAGTGACGGTGAAGACAAACAAGTAATACGACGAAAATCGCGAGACTAACAGAATTTTTAAGGTATAATTTTTTTCAGAATCACAGCTGCTTTAAAAATAATAGAATTTTTTTTTGTTTTTGTCCAACAGCGGATTATAATGTCGTTCCATTTAGATTATTGTACGAATAGTAAAAAGTGTTTTATAATGTGTACGAATAAGCAAATGTACATCTCACAACTTTTTGATAGTAGGTACTTATAATTTATTCGTGACGAACCAAAAATCTATATCAAAATATGTTGTTAAATTTTACTACAATTGATAATTGTACAAGATTCCCAATCATACGAATATTGAATAATCACGAATAAAACATCATAACTCCGAATTGGTGGCATGTGTACTTCAATTATTATCATCCACATCAATTAGTAAACAGACATGGTAAAAAAATACATGTATATCATTCTAGATGCATTAAAAAAATAATGCACATAATCATTTATCAAGAATAATTTGCCAATGTCACTCTTGTGTTCAAAAAAATTTTTTAAATTACTTAAAAATGTATACTAACACAAGAATGAAAGATGTCATAAAAAATAATACGGCATTACAATTTTTCGAATTTTTTCTCATTCTACGATTGTGCTAATGGAATTTTTTTCGACTGCAGATTGTTTAGAATTTTTGAAGTTTTCATGTCCCTTTTTATGTATATAGCAGTAAGCTGTATACTTTGAGGAAGTAATCAACAATGTTGTTTCTTTCTTTTAAATTAAATATCTCATTTAAAGAAAAAATCTTAATATAGTTTTGTAAACGGATAATTAGCATAGTTGTGAAAAATAAACAAGGCATTTGGGTATATTAAATAGATTTTTTATTTTTGGTTCTAACAAAAATAAAGATATTTTCTTTTGAAAACTGTGATCCAATGGTGTTGGATGTATTTTGACAACACAAAATAGGTTCACAATTTTTACGAGAATGTAATATTTGTACAATTTTTAGCGCATACTCATGTTTTATTAAATTATGAAATAAACACTTACCTATAAACAATGAATTAAATTTTATATTAAATCTTTTAAATTTACTAATATACAATACGAAAGAACTAATTTAAAATTATATTGTAATTTTTGTAATGCACGTCGCAGGTAATGATAATTTTGATAAGAGAAACATCAATTTAAAATTTAAATGATTGGTTTCTTTAAAAAACAAAAAAAAACAAAAAAAATTATTGTCTTTTTGGAAAAGTGTATCGAAATTAAATATTCTATTATTCACAAGTAAATTTCAATACAGCTCTGATAAACGAGTCAAATAAAAAATTATATAAATTTTATATTTACTTATGCATTCACTTTTTTACGACGGAGAAGGCGTGTCAAGTTGGAAGCATTGCTTGGCAATAGCTCCTAAAACGATTTCCGCACTGTATACATCTGAAATAAAAAATTTTCCTCATTAATCTATAATACAAAAGACACAATGTTCTTTGGCCTTACATGAAATAATAGTTGTTTGATTGCTTTCAGACTTAAACTAGAAAAGTAAGGATGCTAATTGTGCGCTCAAACTAACAAGTAAGGATGGAAAACATCACACTATTGGCGATAGTTAATTCAGAGGCGTTTTATCATCACTAAGCAATCAACTCATATTATTCAACAAAGGTACAATGTAAGACTTACTGATATCTGCTCGAAGGACATCAGCCAATAAATGTAAATCATTTTCAACTGTGATTATTATATAATCTGACTTTCCGCTGCTCATCTCTTGTATTTGAGCAAGAGATTTTCTTTGTTTATCTACAGTGCCTCCAGCACTCTCAATAATTTCTGCCATGGCTGACGGAGAAGGTATTACACTTGGTGTAACATAAAACGTTTTACCCTACGAACAAGGATTTGTTGAAAATTGGGAAAACTTGTACTTATATCTATAATACTCATCAAAAAGAGACTCACCTTAAGTATACTACCACGATTAGGACTAGCTAGTGCTTTTTCAATATTGCAACTAAAATTCTTCTCAAACTCAGGATCATTCAAAGTATACGAACTTTCCTCAACAAAAGTATTCTTTGCCGAGCAGTCAAGTAGCCACTGAAGACTAACGATATATTTACAATGTGACAGACAACAAAGAAGTTTCACAGTTCGCAGAGGTGCGTTCATTACCAAATGCGTAGCATCTTTCCAACTTGATGCTAGCGTACCACCTAGTTCTCTAATACGCTATGAAAATTAAATATAACATTGTATTTGGAAAATCGTTTACCCAGTACAAGTTTGAAATGAAAAAAAATATATATATAAAGAAACTTACTTTTGCATGTTTTTTCGGGCTTATACCAGAAAATAATATCCTCGGTTGATCTTCCAGTGAAGGGGGATTTGGATTACTTATAGTTATAGGTTCATCTAATGCCAAATTTTGGGGATCCTTATTCGACAATGGTATATCTAATTTTGGTTTTTTATACTTTCTCATCGCGGTTGGTCCTTGGCCGACTTGTTTAACCTTATCGTAAGATTCTTGAGTTATATTTATAGGCATTTTCCAAGCAGCTATGACACAAAGTAAGGTTTAAAATATTTTTTTCATATTACAGAGTTTCAAGAACAGATCGTGGTGGACTTACCCATAAGATGAGGCAAAAGTGAATAATCTAATCTAAAAGGATTTCCTAAACTATACTGTTGGTATTTAGAGGCTTCTAACTGATGCAATGCTGACATATGACCACAGAGCAAATCTGTCAACCACTGGGCATTTGCAACACTAGTCTGCCATTCACGTGCCTTTTTATATTTTGGTCCCTCGGGTCTGAAAAAAAAAAAAATTAAATAATCGCGCTAATTTACTATCTACTGATCCTCAATACTGCTGTTAAACTAAATAATTGTTAGTTGAAAAAAATGTAATTATCAATTTTATAAACTAACTATAAAATCAAGCAAGACTATCCAATGATTAACTAAAAAGTTTGTAAAAATAAAATAAAATCGTTTCGTGTGCACATTTTGTTTGTGTTCAAAGTGTAGTTTGATTATAACTTTAAATAATAATGTTCAAACTTTAGTTGTGATTACATGAATATTTTGGTTTTTAATGTTTCTTAGTCACTTGACGAAAGTAAAAAATGACCCTCACGTACCTCTTACAAATTAATAGCGTATTGTGGCGCGAAAAGTATTTGGTAAACTTGGCACCAATTGCCTCCAGCATGAACTTGACTTTGGCACGTTCCTCGCCCTCGAAGCCTGACAATGATACAATCTGTTTGGTACAAGGTTGTTCAGGTATACCAAAGGGTAGAGGAAAGTGGAGTGCGTGCCAGGGCGGTAGCACCTGCTGTTTGTTCACGACGTCCGAGAGCCAATGCGCCGTTATGCAGCGCTTGTTGTCTCGAATGGCTTGCGCGATTAGAGGATGCTTTTGCGTCATTGCCAGTACGTGCGTTGCCCTCGCACAATACTGTGGCTCTATTTCACCGCCGTGTTTTTCAATTACTTGTTTCCAAGTTGCCACTTCATCGCCCGACGTATCGTACTCGACAATTACGAATATACAACCGAGTAGGAACAGATCCGGAGGCACTGAATGGCAAAAAAAAAAGAACCATATCAATATATGATACAGTATTTACAAAACTGTAGTTTTGAAAATAAGATAATAATATGCTTACACTTTAAGTTAGGATTGTGACCATAGAACTGCGCTTTTGGCTGTTGCGCTGCAGCAGCAGAACCTGGCATCTTGACAGGACTTCCTGGAGGTGCACCGTTCGTGATATTTCCCAACGTTCTCCTCTGATAGGCAGCTAGCAACTGAGGATCCTGGGAGGGTGGAGGTGGTGGCCTGTGCTGAGCTGTCATCAACCTCAACTGTCCAGCTGCGCTACCGTCCGCCGCACCACCCTGTAGTCTATTGGTAAGCATGTTAGCCAGAGCAGTTTTCGTTTTGGCGTTCACAACGAGCTGCTGATCGGTAGACATTGGTTGAGTACCGCCAGGACCAGGCATGGCTGCCATAGCACCGGGCTCTGGCTGTTGACCCACAATTTGTTGCTGTTGCTGCGGCTGTTGTTGTTGTTGTTGCTGCTGCTGTTGAATCTGCTGCAATTGTATTCGAGCAATTTGTTGTTGCTGCTTCTGCATCTGGAGCTGCGCGAGCTGCTGCTGCGTTAGAGGCTGGCCTTGAGGAAACGGTTGGTTTTGAACGATTTGTTGGGCACCCTGAGGTGCCTGACTTGTCTGCACAACGACCTGGCTGTTGGAGTTAATTGGCGCAAGGGCAGGTGGCTGAACAACAGGATGCATCTGAGCAGGCTTTTGGCCTGGTGCTCCCGAGATCTGTAAGTAAATTTTTTCATCAGAAAAATCTATGCGATAACACTGGTAATTCGATCAACTGTGCTGATGAAAATTATAAAATCTGTGGACAATTCGACACCATTATTGTTTACCTGTGGTCCCATGAGTTGTGGCCTTGCTTGCGAAACCCATTGGATTCCTCCAGGCTGACCAGGTTTCCCTGGACTCCGAACAACAGCAATATGTGGTCCCGGTTGCTGACGTTGCTGTATAGGTCGTTGAAGGAATAACGTCTTGTGTTTCTGAAGTTTTTGTATGAACTGTGCCCTTTGCTGGGGGTCCATTTGCTGCAGCTGCTGATGCGTTTGCTCGTCCAGCTGGATAAGCTGTCTGGGTGGTTGCGAGGGCTGCTGTGGCCACGGAGCAGCTGGCCTCGGCTGGCCACCTATTTGTTGTTGCTGCTGTTGCCTCTGGAGTTGCAGCTGATACTGTTGCTGTTGCCATCGGGCGTCTCTCTGAACCATGAAACCTTGCTGATTCGGTCCTACCAGTTGAGTCGGTGACTGTTGTACTTGACCTTCTCGAACGATGAATTGTTGGGAGCCTGGTGGCACAGATTGTTGAAGTTGTTGCGAGATCTGTTGAATCTTTTGCTGCTGTTGTTGGAGCAGTATCATTTGTTGGCACTGCTCTGGCGTTAGTTGCTGCTGTTGCTTTTGTATTGGATTCTGCTGCTGCTGCTGCTGCTGCTGCTGCTGAATTCCCATTTGCTGGTTCTGCTGCTGATTCAACTGCTGCACTTGCTGAGAAAGCATTTGTTGTTTTTGTAGAAGCAATTGCTGTTGGGCAGCCAATTGTTGCTGCGTCATTTGCTGTTGCTGAGCCATCTGTTGTTGAGGGACCATTTGTTGCTGAGTTGTCATTTGTTGTTGCGATGTCATTGGCTGTTGCACCATTTGTTGTTGTTGCTGCTGAGGAGCCATTTGCTGCTGAGGCACCAACTGCTGCTGCGAAGTTATCGGCTGTTGTATCATTTGTTGCTGAACCATTTGTTGCTGCGGACTCAAATGCTGCTGCGGATTTATGGGTTGTTGAGGAGTCATTTGCTGTTGAGGCATTATTTGTTGTTGAACAGACATCTGTTGCTGTGGGGCCATTTGCTGTTGCGGTGGCATTTGTTGTTGCGGCACCATTTGTTGAGGAGGCATCTGCTGTTGTGGCGTCATTTGAGGTTGTGACGTCAATTGTTGCTGCGGTACCATTTGCTGGGTAGCCATCTGTTGTTGTGGGGCCATTTGTTGCAGCGGTGCCAATTGCGCTTGAGATGTCATCTGCTGTTGAAGCACCATTTGCTGCTGAGGCATCATCTGCTGTTGTGACATCATTTGTTGCTGAGGTAACATCTGCTGGGACTGCACCATTTGCTGCTGAGGCATCAACTGTTGTTGTTGTTGTTGTTGTTGTTGTTGTTGAGCATTGACCTGCTGGGATGACAGCTGATGCAACATTTGTGTATTAACTTGCTGCTGTTGGGACACAATAGCCTGCTGATTTATGTTCTGTTGTTGTTGATTCATCTGTGGCTGCTGTGGTATTTGAAGAAGTTCCTGCTGTTGGTTCAGCATCTGCTGTGGTTGATGCATACCTTGAGAATTCATCATCTGTGAAGTGGGTATATCTTGTTGAGTAGGAGACTTCAAAGGAAGCATATTATTCGACTGAACTCCAGGGGAGTTCCATCCACCCTGTTGCATATTATTCTGCACGGAAGAAATTGGAATGCTCGTAGTAGAGTGTACAGCTGTGTTTGGTGGGGCCGACGACCACGCAGCAAACTGTTGTTGTTGTTGCATTGGTTGTTGTGTTGGCTGCTGTAATTGCTGATGTGACTGCTGCATTGGCTGCTGCAACTGCCCTTGTGGATGCTTCAAGTGTTGCTGTTGCGTCTGTTGCTGGGGTTGTTGCATTTTTGTCTGCTGTTGTAGCTGCTGCATTTGTTGTTGTGACTGCTGAGACTGTTGTATGTGCTGCTGTGGCTGTTGCATTTGCTGCTGTTGCAACTGTTGCTGGTGAGTTTGTTGTAGTTGTTGCTGCACTTGTTGTAGTTGATGTGTATGTTGCATCTGTTGTTGTGGCACTTGCTGCTGAGATTGCTGTAATGGCTGATCAGGCCTTTTTACATTGTTGATATTTTGAGAGCTTGTGGGAAGATACATTGGTCCAGGTGAAGTGGTTGACGTTACACTTTGGTTTTGAGGCATTGCTTGCGATGTCACTGCTGGCTGAGATTTCTGTTGATTCCATGGCATTCTTTGTTTCAATTGTTCAAGCATTGCTTTTGTACACTCCTGCTCTTCTGGAGTAGTGTTGTTTTCTAGCTCTTCATCCATAAATCCTGTAATTAACGCTGTAGAACTATTTGGAGATGGGTAGACTAGAAATCTTGGATGGAACTCTGTTTCCCCCACAAGACTTCCTTTTCTGCAACACTCAACTACCCAGTCAGGAGTAACAATGTCGATCTGATGTCTCGATGCAGCCTCATACTTTGCCCCGCTGGCTTTACTAACTATTAAATGTGTACAAAAACGATCCAATTTCATTTGGCATTTACCCCCTTGCAGAGTTATCATAGCCCATAATGCTTTGCTGTCTGATCGACTGACTTGTGATATACAGGCCTTTACATTGGAAAATAACTGATTGTCTTCAGGTGAAAAATAATGAGTTCTTAATGTGCAAAAAATTTCGTCAAGGAAAAAAATTAGTTTCCATCAAATTTAAAAATAGACCAATTTTAACAAACAACGTTCTGTTTGCAAAACAGTAAGAAGTTTGAAACAAGTGACTTGTCAAAAATTAAATAATTTATCAAAAATGAAAAACTATTCACAAAAATTTTATGCAAGTTAAAGGATACGGAAGAAGTTGTCTGCATTTTGCAGAATAAAAAATCCAATCTTGCGTCACTGCTGGAATTTCATACAAATCTTTTGCTGCAGAAATATCATTTTCCAAAGCTTCAAAGCCAGCAATCAAATGTGAAACGAAATCACTGAAATAATTGGATCTTTCAGCTCCTCCTTCTTGTAAAATATTTAGAATCTGCAAAGAAATTTCACCATTTAATCAATCTTTTAAAGTAACGTTTTTGAATTGCTACCAAATAGTGTACATGTGCATTATTAACAAGAACAGGAATTCAATACATGGAAAGTTACAATAGACGTGTAACTGCATCTTTATAAATACAGTTCAAAAGAAGAAACCTTTTTGTAGCATCACAAGGTAACAATTTGTCAATAGCTAAAGTAAATGTTGACACTTGTTGAGTAGTTTCTCAAAGCAGTTTAAAAATAAAAACTAAAGAAAAATGGAATTCTTTGTAGAAATCAAAAAAACACCAGGTAGAATCACACAAAATAAATAACAAAAGTCCCATGCAAACAAACAGTAAAACAATACAATAGGAGGGTGTATGTAAGTTTGTTATGGCGAAGAGAGAGACAATAAAGCACCTTGGGATCTGCCTCGCCGCTGACATAGTACTTGACTTTGGCGAAGAAGCTCGAGTCGAGCTTCAGCTCCTCGAAGCCGGCACATATGTCGCCCATCTTTAGCTGAGATGCAGCAGCAGCCACCGAGCCGTCGTCGTCTTGGCTCCTGGCTGGCTTGGCACTTCATATACTCAAGCGAGGATAGAAAGGACCCGGTCACACCACTCCTCCGTGGGGTAGAATCAGGCCATTCGCAATGTAACTCTCCACAGTGTCGCGTGTTTTGCCTTCGTCGAGTTTTGTTTTGTTATGGAAAACGTACACTCCACACTGTATCACGGACACCAGGGCAGACGATAATATACCGTGATGGTTGCATGTTGCATCTTTCGTGCGTGTCCCCCTCGATTTTACTAAGTATTTTACTCTCGTTTTTGTTATTATTTCTTTTCACACGAGAGAGTTGGACTGCTGCGTCGTATCGCGCGCGGGTGCGGACCAGCCAACTGAAAGAATAATATATTGTCTTTACTTTTTTACTTTCCCGTTTTATTTTATTTGAGCCCTAAGGTAAAAATCGTGCACGGGAGTATCGGGAGAGGGAGAAATATTGCCAAAAGAATATACGAAGTATTGTTCGAGATGCCGACGAAGACGAAGAAGTAGAGGTAAAGCCAAGGGGGAAGACCCGGAGCTCATTGAGGTTAGGACGCTAGGACATTAAAAGGCAAGAACGCGACGCAAGCGCCTTTTGATTGTATTGTATTTGTATCTATGCAAATCTATACAATGCATACATGCAGGCTATTTTCACAGTTTTATATTTACATTCAAACAAAATAGTTATTTTGTAAGCGGGATGTATTTATTCATTAAATTTTGGGAGTGCTTCGTTTTTTTGTCGTCAGTCATGCAAAAAAAAAGATCTTTAATTCAGTTATAGAAATGCAGAAATGGTTAATCAACTGCGCGTGTGTATGCGCCAAATTGCGTATGATCAGCGCCATCTCGCGCGAATGATTTTGAACTAAAAAGCACCCTGATTGTTTTGAAGAAAATGTGGTATCTGTCATGCCGACGATAAAACCGACTGTCGATACGACTAACAACGACAGTGAATACACTTACCGACTTGTCGTTCTGACATGAGGTAAGAGAGAGATCTGTAAGTCGAGCGAGTCAGCCAACCGTCGGTACAGCGACAAAAATATTGGCCCTGCTCTACCGACAGTTGACAGACCCTACCTTCACGCTCTCTCAGCCGCTTGCATACTCATTCCAGTATACGGTATACTATAGTATATGCTCTAAGGTGTAAGATATACGTGAAGTTATGTGTAGTAATTACAGTAATCACTACTAAGTATGGTCGATTTTATAAGCCATTTAAGGTAAGTAAAATATTTATAATTTTAGAGGTCAATTTTGGGGTAAAAGATAAACTGTAAACTTGCCGCAAATAGCATTAGAAATGTCAATTATTTAGCATTTATTTATAAGATTATTTGCGGCCGGTTTAAAATTAATAAAGTGACTTTACTGTAAACAGCAATAATTATTTTGATCAGCGCCATCTAGCGGTCTTTATTTTTTGGCCAAAAGTGGCTCCTAAAATTCTGCATCTGAGCAATCAGGATTGGAGCCATTTAATCAATTATAAACCAGCCGCAACTTATGACGAAGCTATAAAGTAAAAAAATAAGAATACGTGTGTTTTTGACGGCAAGTTAACAATCTAATTTCTACCAAAAAATTGACCTCCTATGTATTTATACCTTTGAAGATAAATTTTCGAGCAAAAGATAATTGTTAACTTGCCGCCAAAAACACATGTATCGTTATTTTTTCATTTTTCAGCTACTCAAATGAGTTGCGGCTGGTTTATACTTGATTAAATGGCTCTAAGCGCTAAAGCTCAGATTCAGAATTTTAGGAGCCACTTTTGGCCAAAAAACAAAGACCGCTAGATGGCGCTGATCCAAATAATTATTGCTGTGTACAGTAAAGTCACTTTATTAATTATAAGCCAGCCGCAAATAATCTTATAAATAGAAAATAAATAGTTGACATTTTTATGCTACTTGCGGCAAGTTTACAATCTATCTTTTATTCGAAAATCGACCTCCACCTCCAAAAGTATAGATATTTTACTTATATGGTTTAATGAAATCGACCATATGGCACTACTTAGAAGTGATTACTATAATTACTACACATAATTTCACATATATCTTACACAGTGCTCTCTTTGCCAGAATGATAAAATCAGAGGTAACCAGACTGTAAACCATCAGCGTCATTGAAAAAACGGAATTGTGAGATTTATTTCACGTCTAAAACTAAACCAGTGCCAATTTGAAAATCAAAACATTTGGCAATGTATGTGTGTACTTAAAATAACAATAAAAAAGGACAATAAACAGGAGTGTCTCGATATACATAATTTCTTATTATTTGTTGTGTCTTGCATGCGAAATTACTTGACACAAGGGGAAAAAACTACTTCTCGATCATGAGCATTTTCTGAATATCACTAGCAAAAGTTACTAGATTATAGGGGAGGCTAGTGACTTTCTTCAAAAGAAGGGTACTTTTTAGTTCGAAATCAGCCACGCGATAAAATACTTTGGATATGAAACAAAATAATTTATTCAACACTTTATACACTCAACTTTTGACACACTATGGATTGCAACACAATCTATAACTATTGGATTGATATTCTTAGAAAAATTTGTTTAAACTCTCTGCAAAAACTTGAATCAATCGAATTTCGTTTGAATCATGTATACTTTAATGAAAAATATCAATGAATAGATTCACATATTCAAGACGCAAATAAACTTATTTTAAAAAGTAAACGCAGTGAATCTTAAGATCACAGTTTTGTATTGACTATTACACTCACAAAAGTCATACAAACTTACAACTACAGTTTTTTATGTCCACTGACGCACGACATAATGTATGATCTCGCTTGTATGTACAATTTTTTAATGCTTAAAAAATTATTGTATACACACACACGCACACAAATGCATGCAACAAGATTCTTTCAATGAGAACCAGATGATCTCTTGTAAAGGCATCTTTCATGCCAAATCTTTTTCTTATTTTTCAAAATTAACTTTTATGTTTCAAATGCCACACGAGCACTTGGACTCATGAGCTGATGATCGGAACTATGAAAAAAAAAAAAAAAAAAAAAAAAAAATCATTTCATCATCATCAATTTAGACGATTCACCCATCCAACGGCAATCTCCGTGCAATGAGTGAGATGCAAAGCTCAAAAGTAGTTTGCACAGTTTGCCCATTACTCAATAGCAGTAGCCCATGGATGCTCGACGTAGCCGTACTGAATGTCGGACAGCGCCTTGAGGAAAGTTTGGTAGACGGGCTGCTCGTGATTTACCGTCGGTATATGCAAACCCTGACCCAAGTACTCGATGTACGAGACCGGGCTGACTATACACGCCGTCCCGGCGCCAAAAAATTCCAGTAGCTGCAAAATAATCATTTTATTAATATTATTATTATTTTTAATCTATTCACCATACAGTTTTTAGATTCATACAATAACAACTGACGCGATGTCATACCAATGTTAAATTAAATCGTCTCTTTATTAGATAAGCAGAAAAGATAATTCAACTTCCCCTTATCGGAAGGGCATCAAAGTTTATCAATTGGCGCTCGGCGACATTACCGTTTTTTTCGCAATAATATGAAACAAGAATATTCTCGGGATGATTGTGCATATCTCGCGTCATTATAGATACGTAGGTGTTTACCCATCATTCGTTTCAATAAATCGTTAAAAAAGCGCTTACCCGATTTTCCGATAACATCTGACAAATTTCTGTCATCGTAATGACCCTTTCCGTAACTTTAAACTGATTCCATTCTCTGGACAGTGCCAGGATTGATTTCCTCGTTATTCCAGGCAAAATGAGGCCATTCAGTGGTGGTGTTATCAGTTCCTTCTCTGCAATTCAAACGAGCTTTATTATTTCACATTTCTGTGCGGACTAGATGAACAAAAAAAAAAAAAAAAAAAAAATCTCACCTCCGTGCTCGTTGACGCAGAAGACAAAGACGTTCATGGCACCAGCCTCGGTGATCTGGTCGTTCTCACCATACAGCCACAAGACCTGCTGCAAGCCCTTCTCGGTGGCCTCCTTGTGCACTTGGACCGTTGGACCGTAGTTGCTGCCCATTTTTCGGTCACCGCAGCCGCCGGGCCAAGCTCTGGTGTAACGCGGATCGGCCAGCAGCGACACGCCCCGATTCAGTTTGTGTTTCTCGAAGTAAGAGCTCACCGGGCTCAGGATCACGTACAGCATGGCTGAGTCTGACGTCGCCACTCCCAGGGTGGGCTTTAAAGGTTTTTGTAAGAGAAAACCGTTGGATTGGTCGGCGAGTATTTTTAATCGGTATATTTAATTTTTTTTTTTTATTTCATAAGTTTACGAAGCGAATCTAATGATGTTTTTTCCATCCGAGTACTACGCGATGTTAAGTGATTTAGTGTGGATTGTAAAAAACATTGGCTATAGTTGAGTAGTGAGCTATGAACTTGTGCCGTTTGTATGCTTTTGTAAATTTTCATTTCTATGGTAAACTAATGCATCGTCTAAAAAAAAAAAAAAAAGAAAAAAAAACAGGGGTACCGAGATCTTTTCAAGCTTGCGATCCACTCAGACGAAGGAAAATTTAGTAAGCGTGGAAATCTTTGCGGGTGCCTTCATTTTTTTTGTCCCACATCGTTATACGTTATTATATCAAGTAAGATTTAGTTAAGCTTGCGATTTTTTAAGGAATTTTTTTCATTGGAGTATCCATTTGGAGCTGCTACTCAGAAAAAACGAAGGAGAAAGAAAGGAGAGCGCGTGGCGTGAAAATGGCGTATGTATGCGCTGTTGTTTGTCGGTCCATTTGAAGAATAATAACGTAACCGACCGATAAGTCGAACCGTGATACACAACAGCCCCGTTGGCTTTCTTTGTTTCAAGTGTTTTGCTTCGATGATTATTCCACAACGTAACACCCTGAATACCTAATGACGTTACATTTTACAATCAACAATAATATTATTTACCATTAATACACAAATGTGGCATGCACGAGTGCTATTGATTATCAGTGTAAGGCCTCGTGTTTAACTTTTTTCTTTTTGCTCATACATAAAAGTCCATACGTCACCGACTGATCCATTGAGCCTCCTCAGTTTCATGCATGTTTTTATATGTATGTGACGTGTGATAAAAGGGAGCTTTTACACATTGAATGTACGCGCGCACGAGTATCACGCCACGAATTCTCACATTGTATTATCAGTGGTATTGAGAAATGTATAGATAGATGGTAACGAAGAACGGAGGCGGTGTAAGCAAGTGGATGGGTCTTACGGGGGGGAGGAAACGCCACCGATCGTCGGTTCAAGAGACAGTGACGACGATGACATAAGCATACGCGCGAATATCGGATCATCTAGAACTCTATGGAAGGAGTGGAGAGGAAAAACCAGAGCGGGGCTTTTTTCTATATTCGCAAAGTATACTTGGGCATGCTTACGTCGATGCCTATCAGCGTGGGTCGAATGTACAGGCTCGAGCCTTCGGCGTGGGGCACCCACTCTTGGTCTATACTAACTAGCCTGTTTATACATTTGATGAGCTCGTCGCCATTGAAAGTCGGCAGGCCGGACCTCTGTGCCGATGTGTTCATTCGCTCCATATTCATGTCGAGCCTGAAAACGCGGATTTTGCCATCAATGCCTCGATATGCTTTTGTTCCTTCGAACAGCTGAAAACAATGCACCTTATGTTAGTTAGATCATTCAAATATTTGTCGAGTTGTTAAGTTCGGCTTAGCTGAATACCGATTTTAAATGCTAATACGTTTTTTTTGCAAAAGATTTGTCAGAGTTTTAGATTCCAAGGTTTGGAAAAAAAAAGTTTTACGCTATATCGTGTACTATTTCGTTTTTTGTCGTATCGAATAATTACGTACTCAAGTGTAATTTGGAAGAAATTTCGTGTACACATGAAGAGTTAAATGCAAACAAGGCTAATAAGATATTGTCGTACGATATTTCAAATATTTTTTCATCCAAAGTTGCTTGTGAGGTAAAACTGATACCACACATGCGAGTGAGATGAAAAAATATGATTAAGTACGAGATATTTATTCTATCCTTGATGTAGTTGGTTCACGGTATCTTTGCTGCTTAGATATATATGTATTTTTTTTCGCTCTTATACGTTTGGACTTTGAAAGACTGAGCTCAACTTTAACTTGCACATTAAATATTTACCTCGATGGCATAGTGCAAAACTTTGGCAGCTGGATGCAAAACGAGATTCTCAAACGGCGTGATCTCGGGCATTTGCCAGCCACCCAGAGCCTCGTGGTAAAACACTTTGAGCATGTGATCTGTGAAGTATTTACCAAAGGCCAAATCACTCACGTTTGGCTTTGGTTGCAACTGATGAGGTGCCGCAAACCGCACAGACAGATCTGCATACTGCGAAATATAAATATTTACTCGATTAGTCACAAGTCTGGCATATATATTGTTTCAACCTATCAATATATTCCGTGGCGTCTCACCTTGAATGTTCTTTCTGTCTGAGCAATTTCTTCGTCTTTGATTTTCAAAAACGAACTCCATCGCACGTTTGGTTGCAACTGATTTAGAAGACCTCTGTAGGACAAGAGCTGCAAACAAAACAAAGTCCTTCATTAAAATCTTTTCAAAACACTAGTTACTTTAAACTTCCTGAACTCACCCTTATATTGACATAACGAGTCATTGTTTGGGAAAAACTAGCCCACGAGTTTGTACCAAAAACGAATTGACACAGTCATTCTGGTATTTAAATTTTAATCTATCGGCTCTTATCTCCCAATGACACCAAAAGAACCCGATAAGAAAGCCAGATCAGTGTATAAACATGATTAATGTGGTCGAGCCTACCAGAAATTTTATACACCCTTATCAGTCACAATTGTGTACACGTGCGTTAGTAAGTACAACAACAATAAAGAGTCGAGGAAACGAAAAATAATAATAAAAAAAGACTTTTAACAAAAAAAAAAAAAAAAAAAGCAACGGGTAGAAAATCTACCTAAACGGCATGATTTGCAATGATCATTTACGGCGATTGCGTATACCAAGCGAATTCGCACGCTTATGTTAAACATGAGACCCGATTAAAATACCAAATGCGAAGAAGTTATGTTAAGTATTCTTGAAAGAAAAAAAAAAAAAAAAAAATACATCGCAAGAGTCTTGAAGACAGTGAGGAAAGAAAAGGGTTGCGTAAGAAGTCGAAAACGAAAACTTACGTATGTGCTCTTGAATCACGTATTTACGCGCAAAGAGTGCAGTACGATCATTGCATAATTGAACGAGGGAAACACCCATGAGTATACGCTCTGTTTCATTGAAAACAAACGTTTTATCAGACGATAATAAAAATAAACGTCAACCGGAGTATGTTTGTTTACTATACCTTCGCGATGTCTGCACACACGTGTTTACGCTCAGGTGAGGTTAGACGAAAGCTCGCGCGCGCTCGAGTCCTTTCATATTTGAAAATTCGAACGCAATGTTCCAAAGTCCCGAGATCGAGCTTTCGGATATGAATCTCAATTGCTAAGCACGATATCTTTGGTGCTATGTATGTAATGGAATAGGACCCAATATCCCTTTTATTAAATAATATCTGCTTTGTTGTTTGTTCTTACCTTGCGCCTCAACTGGACCATTTTTGCGATTGTTTTCTCCTTACAATGCGAGTCCAAGTAACTCGTGTGTAAGTATCCACACGACACAACAAATTCCTTCTTTTTGAAAGATCCTTGGCTACGCAAAAGAGTGTGTATAAACAATCGGTAAGCCAGTCCTATGCACCGGTTAATCCTTTTTCTGCTATACACACACTTTGAACCTTCTCTGACTTTGTACACCGCGCACAATTAACAATTAACTCGAGTGTATGTGAAGGGTTTCGTTAAACAATCCACAAAACAGCCGACAAAATCCTTAGAATCATGGATACGTCGAGCCCAACTGTATGGACTCGTGAAAAAAAAAAAAAAATCTCTTGTCACGCGATGAAGGCACTGAACCGTTTGATCACTGGCAAATCAATCGAGCGACGAAACCAGTAGGCACGTCAACCCGATCGCGAGTGTATGCTTTACGGAGCAGAGGAGCAGCGCCGGGTAACGCGGTAGTCGTGCAAAGAACGCAAGCTTCGCGAATGAGGAGCGCGCCGTCGAACGCCCCGGCCTGATATCCATTACTTATCAGTCGTGTATGTATAACAAAACAGTACCACAGCCTACCGGTGGAGGGTGGGGGGTGGGAGGAAAAAAAGCTTCCTCCCTCCGTTGCGAATAACGTTGTTCCCTTTCCTTGTCGTTTGGCTGTTTTTTTTTTTTTTTTTTTTTTTTTTCTTCTTTGTTTTAACAAAGGCGCGCGTGCGTCTGTTTGCAGAAAAGGAGGCTCGTTCGGGAGAACAGAGATGCCGGCTGACCCCGGGGGCTTGACCCCAAATGGAGAGAGTGGGGGGAATAAAAGATACGCAAGGGTATATCATGTTATGTGTTATCTTTCATCCGAAGAGCTAGAAAATGGAAAAGAAGGAAGAATCGGGGAAGAAGGTCGCGAGAGGAGGATTCGTAACTATGTATACCTTTGATGGTATTTCTGATCATACTCGTTGTTATAATTACCATTTTTTCCTTCCTCTACCCTTGTAAATGTACGTGGCCCAATTGACGCACGTTCAAACGGAAATTTTTGATTTGCATCGGATTTTCCAGCGAACTCCCTTTACTATACACCACTACTCGTCTCAAAGTGGAATTTCCTTTATTACTGCGTGGGAAATAATGGGCGAGGGTGTAAACTTTTAGGTCACATGTTTTGTAGGTACACGTGCGATCTGGAACATTCTTAAATTTACTACCTTTGGCGCGTGGTGTACCTATACATACTATTGTAATTACTTTATTTTAACGTGCAAGTGTATACGTACTCTGTTTTGAATATCTTTGAAATCGTATCAACTTCGTAGTAGTAGAGAAAAACATGTTATTTGATAAACCATCTACATGTATTTCGACATTGATTGCCATCACGAGACACAAAGTGCTTCTCTCGATTGTGACATTTTTGATGAAAAGATTCTACAGTGTACCATGTCAAATCTGAGTTCAATCGTACATCTCAATCAATTGATCAAATTTGAAAACTCGATTGCGACAGAATCGATTATACACGCTTTTATGGTAAAACAATAGGACACCATCGCCTCGATCGCTCATGTGAGGATCGTTTATTTTATGAGCTGTCCCACTTTGTGCTATGAAAAAAATATACGGAAGATACTTCTAACAAACGTAATAGCGCCTAAAACGCTATTTAATTCATGTGTCGCTAAAAGCGATTGATTGAAAAAAAAAAGTGTGAATCAAAGTACAATGTAAAAGTACGTTTAAAAAAAAAAAAAAAAAAAAAAAAAAAAAAAAAAAAAAACAGCCAAACGACAAGGAAAGGGAACAACGTTATTCGCAACGGAGGGAGGAAGCTTTTTTTCCTCCCACCCCCCACCCTCCACCGGTAGGCTGTGGTACTGTTTTGTTATACATACACGACTGATAAGTAATGGATATCAGGCCGGGGCGTTCGACGGCGCGCTCCTCATTCGCGAAGCTTGCGTTCTTTGCACGACTACCGCGTTACCCGGCGCTGCTCCTCTGCTCCGTAAAGCATACACTCGCGATCGGGTTGACGTGCCTACTGGTTTCGTCGCTCGATTGATTTGCCAGTGATCAAACGGTTCAGTGCCTTCATCGCGTGACAAGAGATTTTTTTTTTTTTTTCACGAGTCCATACAGTTGGGCTCGACGTATCCATGATTCTAAGGATTTTGTCGGCTGTTTTGTGGATTGT